GGTCAGCAGGAGAACACGTGGGAAGGCTATCACAATCATCTGTCTTCCACGTCTATTCTGGGAGAATATGAAATGATGGGCTTAATTTGCAGCATATAAACTAGACATTAAGAAATGCTTCCTATTTAAGGAAACAACTAAGCATGTTACAAATAACCCAGGGAGATTATAGACCCTCCATCACTTGGGAACTTCAGTCACAGTTAAGGCAAGTATTTCTTACTACAGATGTATGTGGTTGACACTGGCTAGGAGCCAGGTGCCCATCCAAGCTGCTCCATCACTGCCTGCCTCAGCAGGACATGGGAGAGAAAATGTGGTGGAAAGCTTGTGAAACGAGATAAGGGCAGGGAGATCACTCACCGATTGCCATCAGGGGCAGAATGGACATAACTTGGGGAAATCAGTTTCATTTACTACCAGTCAAATCAGCTTAGGATAATGAGACATAAAACTAAACCTAAACGCTTTCTCCCCACCTCTCTCTTGTTTCTGGGCTCAACTTCAATCCCAAATTCTCTAGCTGGTCCCCCACAGCAGCGCAGAAGGATGGGCAATGGGAGCTGTGGTCAGTTCATCACATGTTTTCTCTGCCACTCTTTCTTACTCCAGTTCATCACCCGTTGTCTCTGCTGTTCTTTCCTCCTCAGGGGAGGACTCCTTACACTTGTCCCCTGCTCCAGCATGGGTCCCCCATGGTGTCACAGCTCCTGCCAGCAAACCTGCTCTATGTGGGCTCCTTTCTCCATGGGGACACATGTTCTGCCAGGACCCTACTCCAGTGCAGGTTTCCCATGCCATCACAGCCTCCTTTGGGCATCCCCCTGCTCACCGTGGGGTCCTCCCCAGGCTGCACTGGTACCTGCTCCACCATGGACCTCCATGGGCTGCAGCGGCACAGCCTGCTTCACCATGGGCTGCACCACGGGCTGCAGGGGAATGGGCGCCCTGACACATGGAGTACCTCCTCCCCTCCTTCTGCACTGACCCTGGGGTCTGCAGGGCACTTCCTCTCACACATTCTAACTCCTCTCTCCCAGCTGCAGTTGTGCAGGATTTTTCCCCCGTTCTTAAATACGTTATCCCAGAGGCACTAAGACCATTGCTGATGGGCTCAGCCTTGGCCATCAGTGGGTCTGTCTTGGAGCTGACTGGTGTTGGCTCCATCAGGGGTGGGGGAATCTTCTAGCAGCTTCTCACAGAAGGCACCCCTGCAGTCCCTCTGCTGCCAGAACCTTGCCACATAAACCCCATACAGTATAACATCATTTTGGGCCAGAACAGACTTTCTTTCCAGCCCTGCTTTTTATTCATAAATTCTTGTTTGTAAATAGCTTCCCCAAAACACAATGCCCAAAACATTCAGTATTCCTGTGGCTGTACATGCGCCACAGAAAAAACTGACTGGGGAAATAGATTACTTACAAAGAAAGATTAAAGGAATCAGTCTTCTGCTCTCAACTATACCAATGTGGTCCAATTACATTCAGTGACAATGTACCAATATAAGCAGGAGAAAAGCTTGACTGAAATGAATGTCAAGAAGAATTCGCTTGGAAATGCTCAGGGAAATAATTCCCTTTAGGACAGAAAGGAATTGGTAAAATATTTTAGGAAAACAACAGTCCTAATAAAATTTAAATTGAAAAGAAAGAAAGTACAGCCAGAGGATGTCCCGCTGCAGTTACATCTACTAAATACCTCCTCTGGGATATTTAATATGAAGCTAGAACACAGTCACTCACTGTACAAAGTAATTACACACAGGAGGTTGCCAGAGAATGAGATCAAGCAGTTCTTCTCTTAGATGTCCCTGTCATTCATGGAAGCAGACACAATGTCTGCTTTAGTTGTTTCTGCGCCTACATCCATTATTTCTCTCCACCTTTGTAGAGAAAGAGTAGTGACTAATTGATTATGAAAATTTACAACCAAGCTGGATCAATTACTAAAATGTACTTTATGTACAATGTCTACAGATGCTCCATTCTGTACACTGTAAAAGAAGAGCTCCTCAGGAAAAAAAAGAACAAAAATCACCATTTTGGTTTAATTACAATGGCACTGCAAAAAAGAAGTAGGGCCAGAAGGAGAGCAATCTTACTGCATACCCTTGTCTCCTGGATATGATCAAGAGAGAGTTTCTAAGAAAATACATATATTCGCTTTTGTATTTTGCTTTTGGCAATACAGAAAACAATGCTTGCCAGTATTTTAATTTACTAACTACTAGACAAAGAGCTTCAGAGCATGTGCACTTATGCCCAAAATG